CAAGTGATTGCAAAGACCATGGCCTGTATCATGTGCACCTTAGTCTCCAGAGAGACACCTTTGCTCTTGAGTACTTTAGAGAGGTCCCTAACAGCAGACTTTCCCCATCACAATACGTTTTTTGATTTCCTGGCTGCTGGTGCCAAGAGTGTTGACTGTGGAGCTGAGCAAACTATATTATATCTCAATGGTGGTTTCATCTATCAATATAACTGTTGTTGTTGTTAGGTGCCGTCGAGTCATAGACAACTCATAGCAACTCTATGAACAAAAGGCCTAAGCACTGTTCATACATAGAGTTTCCAGAGGCAAGCCATCCAGGAGTGGATGGCACTCCTGCTTTTAGGTTTGTTTTAGTAGGGAAGCTCCAGAAAACACTGTCCACCATGGGAAACCATTACCACATTTGGCACATCAGTGTCACATTGTTCCGCATCACAGCATCCACAAGTTACCTCTGTACAGCAATGCACAGACCAGTGCCATACCACCTAGAAGAATATTTGACAGGAAAACAATTTGAACCTGGCCTGAGGGCCCATTGGGACCTTAAAGCCCCCTCCTGCCTTAAACCCTAGACCAAGCCTGGCTTGCCTCACTCCTGGGGGCGGAGCAGTCCAGCATATCAAACTCAAGCCCAATAAAGCACTCAACTCCAAAAACTTGCCATGAAATCTGTGCACACACCTCCATGCTCTCTCTAGCAGCAAGAAGTCACAGAAACCCTGGGAGGAACCAACTAGGAATAACATGGCCATCTTCTCTCCCCTCTCCCTTTGGAACTTAAAGCCCTCTCCTGTCTTAAACCCTAGGCTAAGCCTGGCTTGCCTCGCTCCTGGGGGCAGAGCAGTCCAACATAACTAGTTATGTTTTATCTTGGAGGAACATATAAGGTAACCTGAGTTTGCTATGATGCTAGCCTTGTGTCATGGGAATATCAAATACCAGAATAGTTTCCCATTGTAGACTGTGTTTGGTGGAGCTCCCAATTGTAAAACTATTTGGGGAAGCAGGAGAGGCATCAACTTCCTAAGCCAGATCCTCTGGAAACTCTATGAACTTGGAGAAATAAAGATAGTTGTGGAAAGGCATTAGGTCTTTTGTTAATAGAGTCACTATGAGTCGACCTCGACTAAATGGCAATCAACAACAACATAGGCAAGTGACTCTGAAGGTCATCCCAAGACTATATTAAAATAATAAGTGCAATGTAAATGAGATAAATCCTTTTCCATTGAGTTAATTTTGTCTTATAGTGATCTTCCATCAGGTTTCCAACACTGTAAATCACAAAGCAAAGAGATAGCCTATTTTTCTCCCTCAGAGCTGTTGGTGGATTAAAACTGGGCAAGAAACATGGCCTTTAGGTGGAAAGTGCAATTCTTAAGCACTACCCCAACAGAAAGCTCTAAAAAGATATATAAACATCTCTAAGTGTAACATATGCATGAATAAAGAAAGCTTTTTCACGTAAGATGCATTCTTGTTACCACTAAAAATAATGACATTTAAAAACAATAAGACAGTGGTTTATTGCAAGACGCTAGAGTTAGAGTAGTTCCAGCTGAAGATATGTTTCAGTCTATTCACCAATGTAGAATACTCTTACATAATGTGTAAATGGTAATAATTAGAGTATCAGTTACCTGACATAGCAATGTTGGTCAGTTGACTCCTTTCCACTGGGGGAGCCCATTTGACCCAAATTGAAAACTGTCCTGTCATTATCATAGTCTGAAAAAATAAACCAACAACAAACAGTTGTATGTGTGCTATCACTTTGAAACCACTCATACACAGAAAATGTCTAGGTACCTGGGCTATGCCTTGGATAGCCCGAATGACAATGAGTAATGTTGCTCCAGTGTCAGCTGCCAGTGGTATGAAGAGAGTCATGACTGAAGAAAGGAGCAAGCCAGCACCAACCACTTTCTTGGATCCAAATACTCCAGTCACATAGCCAATAGGAATTGGGATTAAAAAGGAGACATAGTTGGTGGAGCCAAGGATGAGTCCCTGGATTTCAGCACTCCACTCATACACAGGAGCCTAAGGAAGCAAAGGGATTTCATTTGTTATTAGTCTAACTAGATGACTGACAGACTATCTTAAGGACTTACAGATAAAAAAGCATGTGGAGATTTTCTTCCTTTTACGTCAAACTCCTCTAAACTTTCAAGTTTGTAAACAATCTAATTGTTGCTCAGTACATTTTCCTCTACCTTAATCACCTAACTAATCATTATATACAAGAAAACTCATGTAAGAATATAACAGAAAAATATAAAAAAAATCACATGTAAGGTAAAAAAATGTGGAAAATACAAGAGCAGGCAGATGGAAATTGACAATTACTTGTCAATATTTTCATCATTGTGTGTGTACCTACCTCTTGTGAAAACTAGTTAAAGTACAAATACAGGAAGTCAGCTTAGTTTCGTCATCTCGCATATTTTCTACTTTTGGCAGAGTGAAGGCTTAACATTTTCCTATCATTGGTTTTAGTGGAAAATAATTGCATTTTCCTTCTTTGGTAAGTTTCCAACTTAAATAGATTTTAAGGCGGGAGGGGGGGTGGCAGGTACGCACACAATTGAAAAAAAACCTAACTTAGTACCAGGAAATATTCATAGACAAAAAGAGTAAGAGAGGATATAATCTCTTCTTAGATACATATAATCTTCCTTATGTTATTTCTAAATCACAATACTTTTTCAATAACTATTTTCTGCTTAAGGAATAATACCCTTTTCTAACTTATGTACTACATTCAAATAATTTTAGGAAGAGAGAGAAAATTCAGAATATCATTAAGTTTACCACTGCTTGAAATTCCTCCAGAGTTACATTGCTGTAGTCCTGGGAGTCAGTGGAGTTGTTTGGAGGGTTAGGTGAGGCTGTGTGGTTCACCATAGCTGGCATGGCAATGTTAAGGCATGTCATTTGAGTAGCAGATATAAAATTACAGATCAGCAAGATGAAGGCCAGACCATGTCGAGTAGTACAAAATGCTAAAATGTGAAGACAAAAAAAATGTTATCATCAACATGACCTATTCTCATCCTCACTAAACCCAACAAAGAGGAAAAGATTGAGATCTATAAACCAGAAATACAGGAAATTAGATACTGTTTTGTAGGTATTTAGTGAATGTATATTCCCTGGGAGGTACTGGATGAGTTAATATAAGTAGAAAATTAAAATTAAGAACATGTAGATTTGACCAGAACAAGCATTAGAGAAGTTCAGTGTAATAGAAGTATGTGCAGAAGTATGTAATAATGGGTTAAGGTAAGTGTATCTTGTTTGTAAAATTTATCTTGACTCTGTATTCACTTTTCTAAAATGGGGGTGGGGGGTTCTCTTTATTTTATAATAATTAAAGTTTATATAAATTATTTTTCACACTGGATCTTTTTCATTTCTTTTTCCACCCATCAAATGCGTGACCCTAGGATTATGTCCCCACTCATTCTAACCCCTCTGTCCCAACCGCCCCCGATTGGATTCTCATACACTTTCTACAATAATAGTCTTATACAATATTTGTCCTTATGGGACTGAATTAGTTCACTTAGCATAATACAGTCTTTCCCACGTTAGAAGTTTTTCACTCAGTGAAAGAGATGGGTCATGTGGAATTTCTATGTTCAATTTTTTGAGGAAACACCAAACTGCCTTCCAGAGTGGTTGTACCATTTTACAACTCCTCCAACAATGTGTAAGAATTCCTATCTCTCCACATCCTCTCCAACATTTATTACTTGCTTTTCGGTTAAACTTTGCCATTGCTGCTGGAGTGAGACAGTATCTCGTTGTAGTTTTCATTTAGTTCTTATTATCAGGGATATTGAGCATTTCCTCATGTGTCTTTTTGTCATCTGAATGCCTATCTCTGTGAAGTCTTCCCATGTCTTTTGCCCATTGTGTAATTGGGTTATCAGTCTTTTATTCCTGGAGGACAAGGATTATTTTGTAAACTTTTGTAATGAGACACTTATCTGAGATGGTATTGCCAAATTTCTTTGTCCAGTCAGTGGACTTTCTTTTCACCCTGTAGAGAAATGTTTTTGATGAGCACAAAGATTTAATCTTTAGAAGATCCCGTTCATCAATTTTGTCCTCTCCTGATAGTGCATTTCTGGTTGTATTTGGCAGTCTCTTTATTTTATGGACAAGGCCTTCTAAGCTTGATCTCTGTTTGTCTGTTACGAACTTGATGGATTTGGGCTTTACTCCCAGGTCTCTGATCTACCTTGAGTTGATTTTTGTGGATAGCGTGAGTAAAGATCCTGCTTCAGTTTTCTGCAGGTAGTAGTTCAAAGCAGTGGTGTCACTCTGGAAACTAAGGTGTGCCTGATACAGGCCATAGTCTTTGCAATCACTTGTTATGCGTCAGAAAGCTGGACAATGACTAGGGAGGATAGAAGGACAATTGATGCCTTTGAGCTGTGGTGCTGGAGAGGAGTATTGAATGTATCATGGACTGCTAAGAAAACAAACAGGTTCATCCTGGACAGGGTTAAGCCGAGCTGCTCCTTGGAGGCAAGGATTCTGAGGCTTTGTCTGACATACTTTGGACATGTTGCAAGGAGGGACCAGTCCTTGGAGAGGGACCTCATGCTTGGAAGTGTGGAGGGACAGTACAGGAGGCGAAGTATGAGGTGGACTGAGTCAGTGACTGGGGTAATCGGGGTGAGGGTGTCGGAGACAGTGAGATTGGCACAGGACAGAGCAGAGTTAGGGCTTCTTGAAGAGGTTGTCATTTCCCCATCTGATAAGTTCTATTTCCTTGTTGAATATCAGTTGACCATAGATAGTTGATTCCATTTCTGAGTTCTCACATATGTTCCATTGGTCTATGTGCCTGTCATTGTACCAGGATAGAACTGTTTTGGTTACTATCACTGTATAGTAGGTTGTTCTATGACTCCCTCTTCATTTTGGTTTTTCAAAAGTGCTTTTCCTTTGGGGTCTCTTTCCTCTCCAAATAAACTTGACAATTTCCCTTTCATTCTCCTTGACACATGAATTTACTATCTGTATTGGGATTGTGGTGAACATATAGATTGTTTTTGCAAGACTGTCATTTTGGCAATATTGAGTCTTCCTATCCATAAACAGAGAGCATTTTTCATTTATTTAGGTCTCTTCTTGGGTCTTGAAAAAATATTCTGTAGTTTTCTTTGTGCAAGTCTTTTTGTTTCTAGGTAGGTTCACTTTTAAGTGTCTCAGTTTGTAGTTGACTATTGTAAATGGTATTGCCTTATTTATTTTCTTCTATCAGTTCTCTTTGTTACTGTAGAGAAATCTCACTGACTTTCAATATTGATATATCCTGCCACTCTTCGAAACTGGTCTATGCTCTAATAGTTTGTTGGTTAGTATATTTATTTTTTTTTATTTTATATCTTTAAGTCCTTGTAGTTTTTTGTGTAAAATATCGTATCATCAGTGTATAGTAACAGTTTAACCACCTCTTTGTCTATCTGGATGCCTTTATTTCCTTCTCTTATCATATTGCCCTAGCAAGTACTTTCAGTACAAAATTGAATAGAAGTGGAGACAGTGGACATATTTGTCTGGTTCCTGTTCAAAAGGAATGCTTTTAGTTTTTCTCTATTGGAATGATATTGTCTCTTGGTTTTGCAAACATGCTTTCTACTCTATTGAGGAAATTCCCTTCTATCCAATTTTGCTGAGTCTCTTAATCAGGAAAGGCTGTTGGATTTTGTCAAATGCCTTTATTGCAACAATTGCTAGGATCACATGGTTCCTGCTTTGTTAATGTGGTAAATTACATTGATTTTTTTTTTCTTATGTTGAACCATCCTTGCATACCTCTTACATGCCTCCACTTGGTCATGATTAATTTTTTTGTTTGTAGTTTTTTACTCTTTTGGCTAAGATTTGTTAAGGATTTTTGTGTCTATGTTCATGACAGAATTGATCTGCAGTTTTCTTTTTTGGTAATATCACTTTCTCGTTTTGCTATTAGAGTTATGTTTCCTTCATAAAATGGCTCTGGGAGTGTTCCTTATTTTTCTATTTTTTGAAATAACTCAAGTAGGATTAGTTATAAATCTTCTCTGAATGTTTGGTAGAATTCAACCATGAAGCAATCTGCTCCAGGATATTTTTTGTGGGAAATCTTTCTATGACCTGCTCAATTTTTTTCTTGTGTGATGGGTCTGTTTAAGAGTTCCTTATTTGTCAATCTGGGTAGGACATGAGTTTCAAGGAATTTACCCATTTCCCCTAAGTTTTCAAACTTATCAGAGCTTTTCATGATATTCTTATATTATAGATTTAATTTTCTTTGGTTCTGTTGTGATGTCACCTTTATCATTCCTTAACTGAGTTATTTGTGTCTTCTCCTTTTTTTTCTTTTGTCAAGTTTGACAATGATTTGTCAATTTTATTGACTCTTTTGAAAAACCAGCTCCTTGTCTTATTGATGGTCTCAATTGTTATTCTGTTTTCTAACGCATTTATTTCAGCTCTTGTTCTTATAATTTCCGTTCTTCTAGACGTGTGGGCTTAGATTGTTATTCTTTTCCTATTTTATGAAAGTGTTGAGTTAAATAATTAATTTTGCTCCTTTTTTATTTTCCATGTGTTTGTCCATTGCTATGAACTGCCCCCTGAGGACTGCCTATACGCATCCCAGACATTTTGCTGTATGTTGCATTTTCATTACCATTTGTTTCAAAGAACATTTTTATTTCATTCT